AGATGGGGTTTCACCATGATGGCCAGGCTGGTCTTGAACTCCTGACCTCAGGTGATCCACCTACCTCAGCCTCCCAAAGTGCTAGGATTACAGGCATGAGCCACTGCGCCCGGCTGGTTTCAGGGGGTTCTAAGCTCTTCTCCCAGGAAAAAGGGATGGATAGGCAGAAGGCCTGGGATTGCGGGGTAGAAGTTGGTTCTGTGCTCACCTTGGCTTCACTTTCTTTTTACCTTCCTTCCTGCAGTTTGCTATTGGCTCCCTGATGGATGATTACTTAGGTGAGTGCCTGATTATGCGTGCCACAGCTATTGCCTGGAGAAGGGGTGTGTACGTGTGGGGAGTAATAAAGGATTTAATGCCCAAATCAGAGAGACAGAAGAAACTTTTATACTGTCTGCTTGGAAGATCCAGAACATGTGCCTTGGGATGAAAAGCTGTGGTTGCCCCCAAACTCTGGGTCTAACCGATTGCTTTTTCTGGTTTCACAGGGCTTGTAAGCTGAGCCTGGTGGCCTCCTACCCTTGGTCCTGATCTAGGAAGTGTGATTGTCACACTTACTGTGTTGTCCAGAGGTCCAGTCTGGCCGCTGTTGTGAAGGCAAGGAAGGCAGCTCATCCCCGGAAGGTTCTTCTTTTGGCTTAGCTACTGCTTTCTGATTTTTCAGTATGTGTTCTATGTAAAAAAGCCCTTGGTTCTCATGGAAGTGTTATCTTTTTTTTTTTTTTTTTTTTTTTTTTTTTAATTTTTCTTTTTTTTTTTTTTTTTTTTTTTTTTTTTTTTTTTTTTTTTTTTTTTCTCTTAAGCAGGAACAATAACTCTTTAAAAAGGCTGTGTAGTTGACTGCTTACTAGCCCCTCTTTTCCTTAGACTGATGCCTCTGCTAGCCTCAGCCACCCAGGGGATCTGACTAACCCGTTTGTCAAGGTTTAATGTTGACCTCATTAAAGTCAAGGCTCTGATGTTGGGTCTTTGGCTTCCAGCAAATGACACCATCATTAGTGGCATTCTGAGTCCTGATCTAATTCCAGAGTGTTTCCCCTTCTCCTGCCCTTAAATATAACCAAGAGTATAATGGGAAAGAAGGGAGAGGAGACAGCAGACAGGGAGAGATGAACAAGAGGCTAGTAATGACACAGATTGTGGGATCTCAACACAGCCCTTCCTAAGATGGGTATCTAAACAGCAGTGTATCACTATTCTAAACTGAACTGAAAATGTAAAAGGACTCAGAATCTAGTTAAGGTAACACAAAAATATATGAAATGCCTAAAGGATTAAACAAACATGCCACTTTTCCCTGACACTATACCTCTGCAACACTATTTGTCTACCTTGGAATGCCCTTTCCCAGTTTCCTATCTACCCATCTATGAACTCTCAATTCAATTATGTTTTTTTTCTTTAGCTTTCTTTGACTTCCTTGGGATACAGAGCTTTGTGGCAGAAAACAAGAAAGCATGGTATTTGCATTAGTAACAGAGCTGGTTTAAGTCTTAGCTGGACTCAGGAGGTTGAGGCAGGGGAATCGCTTAAACCCGGCATGGGGAGGTTGTAGTGAGCTGAGGTCCCTCCACTGTACTCCAGCCTGGGTGACAGAGTGGGACTCCATCTTAAAAAAAAAAAAAAAAAAACGCCGGGCGCGGTGGCTCAAGCCTGTATTACTGGGAGGCCGAGGCGGGTGGATCACGAGGTCAAGAGATCGAGACCATCCTGGTCAACATGGTGAAACCCCGTCTCTACTAAAAATACAAAACATTAGCTGGGCATGGTGGCGCATGCCTGTAATCCCAGCTACTCAGGAGGCTGAGGCAGGAGAATTGCCTGAACCCAGGAGGCGGAGGTTGCGGTGAGCCGAGATCGCGCCATTGCACTCCAGCCTGGGTAGCATGAGTGAAACTCCGTCTCAAAAAAAAAAAAAAAAAAAAAAAAATTCTTAGCTGGATGACCTGTTTCCCATTATAAAATGGGCAGAAAACCCTCCTTGGAGGTTGCTGTATCAGAGATCATATGTTCAGGTGGCTGGCATAGAGCATCATCCATGATGGGCCCTCAACTGTTAATTATAATAATTATTATATAATGCATATAGTAATGCATCCCAAAGCCGATACGGTGGTGTGTATCTGTAGTTTCAGCTACTTAGGAGGTTGAGGTGGGAGGATCTCTGGAGTCCAGGAGTTCTTTCCAAGTTCTCGAATAGAACCACCCATTTATAAATGGTGTAGGGGAATAACACCAAGCCTGGAAGGAAGAGACTGATGGACAGAGAAGCAGCTCATGGATCCTGAGCATGTGGGTGCTGGTGAGGATGTAGGGTGTGGCATCGAAAAGGCTGGCACTAATTAAAAAAAGAAAACATTGGCACTGTGTGGGGGAAGGGAGCAAGTGGGAACGGCCTGGAGATGGTTTCCAGAACTCTTCTGAGCTTTTAAGGTTAGTACTAAGTGAGTCGGAAAGTTAATAGCCTCTTAAAGAGGTCACAGGCTAATAGAGTACCATGTGCTTGCAACATGCTGAATCCTTTACACACATTTCTGAATCTCCACAACAGTTCCATAGAGTAGATTTTGTTATCCTGCTTTGTAGTTGATGAGACAGGTCAGACAGGTCAACTAATATGCCTAAGGTCACACAGCTAGTGAGCTGTGATTCTTTAAAAAGAGTCTGGGCCTGGGGCAGTGGCTCATACCTGTAATCCCAGCACTTTGAGAGGCCGAGGTGGGCAGATCACTTGAGGTCAGGAGTTTGAGACCAGCCTGGCCAACATGGCAAAAACCAGTCTCTACTAAATATACAAAAATTAGCCAGGTGTGGTGGTGCGTGCCTGTAATCCCAGCTACTCAAGAGGCTGAGGCACAAGAATTGCTTGAACCGGGGAGGTGGAGGTTGCAGTGAGCCAAGATTGCTCCACTGCATTCCAGTCTGGGCGACAGAGACTGTCTCAAAAAGAAAAAAAAAAAGACCGGGCAATGTGGTTCATGCCTGTAATCCCAGCACTTTGGTAGGCTGCTGGTAGATCACAAGGTCAGAAATTGAAGATCAGCCTGGGCAAATAGTGAAACTTTGTCTCTACTAAAAATATAAAACTTACAAAACAGCCGGGCGTGGTGTTGGGCACTTATGATCCCAGCTACCCGGGAGGCTAAGGCAGGAGAATCGGTTGAAACGGGGCATGGTGGTTCACGCCTGTAATTCCAGCACTTTGGGAGGTAGAGGCAGGTAGATCACCTGAGGTTGGGAGTTTGAGACCAGCTTGACCAACATGGAGAAATCCCTGTCTGTACTAAAAATACAAAATTAGCTGGGCATGGTGGCACATGCCTGTAATCCTAGCTACTCAGGAGGCTGAGGTAGGAGAACTGCTTGAACCCAGGAGGCAGAGGTGAGCCAAGATCACGCCATTGTGCTCCAGCCTGGGCAACAAGGGTAAAACTCTGCCTCAAAAAAACCCCGAAAAAACAAAAAAACAGGAGGCAGAGGTTGCAGTGAGCTGAGATTACGCCACTGCACTCCAATCTCGGCGACAGAGCAAGACTCCATCTCAAAAAGTAAATGAAGGCCGGGCTTGGTGGCTCACTCCTGTAATCCTAGCACTTTGGGAAGCCAAGGTGGGTGGATCACTTGAGGTCAGGAGTTCAGGACCAGCCTGGCCATCATAGTGAAAACCTATCTTTAAATAAATTAAAAAAAGGAAAAAACAGTAAATAAAAATAAAAATTAAAAACAGTCTGACTCCAAAGCCATCATAGTTCTTACCAGGCACTGGGTGTGTGGAGCGAGCTACCTTTCTCTCGTCTGTGGCCATGGGGGTTACTGCCTTCCCTGGTCCCTGCCTCAACTCAGATTGGGAGCAAATGAGCGCCAGACGGGTTGAATACAGGTTCACTATCTCTAATAGGTCCCTGGCAGTCCCAGCCTCCCTACCGTCTTCTAGTGTCTCCAAGGTTGCTGATGGCTGTCCAGATTAGTAAACCTAAGCAAGAAGTTCTGGCAGCCCAGGTCTGGCTGAGCTGACTTCAGACTCAGTCAGACCTTAAAGGAGAACTCCCTCTCTTTCCCTTAATGCACAGGTGGACAGACACTTGAAACCACTTGTAATGTGGTTCTGAATATGACTGGAAGAGACTCAGCAGGGTCACAGTCTCTTCAGGTGGGGTTGTCATGGCAACCACGGTGGCATCCATCTGGCTTTGCCAGCTCGGGTCCCAGAGGATTTTCTTTTCCAGCGACAGCACCATCTAGCCCTGAGAGTGGGGAAGAGAATGTGTATATTCATGCTCCCTTAGTTCACCCTGTGTGAACTACCCCATCTTGGGTGAACCTAACAGAATTCACTGCATGCCTGGTGACATAAGAGAGAAAGTTAGTTTAACCTCCAACTCGGCCAGGGACTCTCACAAACATTAATCTACTACAACCCTGTGAAGTGGGCATTATCCCATATTAGGTAATTTGCCCAAAGGCAGTGTCAGAATTATTTATTTATTTATTTTTATACTTTCCTTTTCCTTTTTTTTCACCATGTTGGCCAGAAGGCAGTATCAGAATTTTAACCCAGTTCTGTCTGATTCCAATATCATCCTTTACTCGCTAAGCCCGCTGCTTACCAATTGAGAACGGCCCAAGTCGCTGCTATCGCAGTGGGAGTTGGAGAAAGAGAGCTGTCAGTGTGGGCGTGCAACGGTCATGCAAGGGGAGGTAGGCCAGGGCTTATATTTGGTTCACAGGCGTGGGAAGAATGCGAAGTAGGTGCAGAAAGAGCAGAACCCTGGAGTCCGGAGCTTGCACGGGATGTTTGGCGCGGTCAGAAGTCCCCTCTGCCTGCAGAGATCACCTACCGAGAGCTCCTTCTGTCCCTCCAGGATGGGGAAGTGGCAGGTGATATTGGGGAGGTAGGCTGGGCAGGAAAACACAGCCGGACACCAAAATCTAAAGCTTTACTGCAGCTGCGAAAATGCAAGTGCTCAGAAACTCGGGAGCAAACAAGACCAAAAAAATGGGGACGCTGTCCTTGAGACTGTTTATTTCCTCGTTATTATTGTGGCGAATAAAAAAATAAAGTTAAAAAACAGGATATACTTATTAAACGCGTGTCAGAACGTTATACACACCTACTCCCAAACCTAGCAAGAGAGGTTGCTTTAAGAAGCGCGACTCTTCAGCATCACGTGACCGCCTGTCTTTACAGCCTGTTCACACTGACCAATCAGGTGCCGAGAAGCCTCCTGGAGGGCGGAAACTTTCCAAGGCACCCGCGGAGATAGGTTATACTCGTCGAGGGCGGGGCTGGGGCGCCGAGAGAGGGAATTAGTGTGAGCTGGGTGAGTGGGCGCCGCCGCTGCCGCCGTCGTCTCGGTAGCCGCCTTTGCCACGCCGGGGCCCTCAGGTGAGTAGGCCTTGCCCGGGCCCAAGTACTCCCCATTCCCGCGGCGAACCGCTCACTCACTGGACTTGGAGTCCGCTCCGCGGAGGCCCGCCCCCTTTGCTGACCACGTGACCCAAGTTCAGTGACTCCTGACCTCCTCTACCCCCCGGGATCTGGTTGGGGGGCGAGGCCGGGCGGGAGGTTGAGCGTTGCGGAGGCCCTTCCCGCGGAGGTCAGTTCCCACGCCTCCTAGCCAGCATGACTAGTGGCTGAGGATGCGGAGGAGAGGAGGCTGAGGAGCGGGAGACCTTGGGCACCAGCCACACTTCATGGGGGCT